AACACTCACAGCCCCTATGGAGAACTGTGTGGAGGCTCCTCACAAAACTAAAAACAGAATTAGCATCTGATTCTGCGATCCAACTACTAGGTCTATGTCCAAAAGAAAGAGAACCATCATATCAACAGATATCTGCACCCCTTTCTTTATTACACACTATTCACAATAGGCGGAATTTGGAAAGTGACCAGGTGTGATTTTATACACAATGAAATATTATTCCCATAAAAAGACTGAAATCCTGTCATTTGCAGTAACACAGATAGAACTGGAGGCCACTATAAGCAACGTAAGCCAGGCATGGAAAGACAAATACCGAATGTTCTCCCTCACATGTGGAGTTCTTAGAGAGATAAATTTTTGGTTGACACCTGTCCCTGCCTCAGCCAACACACTTGAGAATGATTCAGCAAATACCTACTGAATTCTTCATCTTTCAACTTTAGGATGTCACAAAACTGTGCTCTCAGGCACCCAGGGACACTGGTAAACTCAGAGAAGCACAGCTCAAAGTAGTTCACCATCTTGACATTAGCTCCCCCTATCCTTTTGATAACATCATACTTTTGTAAAGTTGTGTTTTCCGTAATGGCTATGATAAAATCAAGTATCTAAGAAAACCAGTGTGTAACAGGAAATGAAGGTGCAGGTGCGGGTGCAGCCTGACTTAATCATTTAAGAATTTGTGCAATTTCCAACAGGTACACATTCCATTATGAAGTATAACTGTTTAATAATGAAATAAAGAGGCTTGGCACCTGTAGCTCAAGTGACTAGGGCACCAGCCACATACACCAGAGCTGGCGGGTTTGAACTCAGCCCAGGCTTGCCAGATATCAATCAAAAAATAGCCAGGCGTTGTGGTGGATACCTGTAGTCCCAGTTACTTGGGAGGCTGAGGCAAGACCAAGCCTCAGACCAAGAGCTGGAAGTTGCTCTGAGCTGTGACACCATGGCCCTCTACCCAGAGTGACAGCTTGAGACTCTGTCTAAAAAAAGAAAGAAAGAAAGATATTTTCTCTTTCAATATGTATTATTTTTTCAAACAGCTACACAGCTCTTAAGACAAATAGTTATTAATTTGTTTAAACCATTCTATTAATTAATAAATTGGATCCTTAGGTGTTTCTTTTGATCTAGAGTGAAAAATTACTATGACCCCTACGGATCCTATGAACTGAAAAAAGTTGAGAGTACAGGAACAAAAAAATGTTTGATGACCACAGGCCTAGCAACTCCCCTTTAGTTATACTTGGGATTGCCAGCAGGTGGTGCTACCAAGATTGGGTCAGCCAGGGAAGAAGACATTCCTGGGTGGGGAACCTACGACCTTCTAGGTCTACAAGTGCAGCCTTTTGACTGAATCTAAATTTTACAAAACAAACCTTTTTATTTATTTTATTTATTTCATTTTTTTTTTTTTTTTTAGAGACAGAGTCTCACTTTATCGCCCTCAGGAGAACGCCCTTGCGTCACAGCTCACAGCAATCTCCAGCTCTTGGGCTTAGGCGATTCTCTTGCCTCAGCGTCCCAAGGAGCTGGGACTACAGGCGCTTACCACAATGCGGGGCTATTTTTTTGTTGCAGTTTGGCCTGGGCTGGATTTAAACCCACCACCCTTGGTATATGGAGCGGGCACCCTACCCACAGAGCCACAGGCACCGCCCCAAATCTTTTTATTTTTATTAATACATTTTTTTTTGAGACAGAGTCTCACTATGCCACCTCGGTAGAGTGCTGTTACGTCACAGCTCACAGCAACCTCAAACTCTTGGGCTTCAGCGATTCTCTTGTCTCAGCTTCCCACTTACCTGGGACTACAGGCATTCACCACAACTCCTAGCTATTTTTTTATTGTAGTTGTCATAGTTGCTTAGCTGGCC